ATCTGAATATTTGATCTCACATCTATTTAGGAGAAGTGCGTTTTGGTTGTGAAGTCGATTTTTATAATTTATTTTTATTTTTTTCAATTTTACATGGTTGTAACTGCATTCATTTGCAATATTTCCTCAAAGCATGGTGTTAGATAGGGCTTATAAACAAATTAAACTCAACTTGTGTTCGGTTTATTAAATAAATAAGTTAAGTTTAAATACATTTTAAAATTCGTTAGGATTTTCAAAATAAGCTTGATCAGTCAATTACTCGTTCGGCCCGATTTAATAAGTCTAAAATTATATAAAATATTAAATTACTCAAGTTTGACTTAATAAAAACTCATTGAGATTGGTTCGAAAGTTTAACGAATCAAGCTTCAATAAATTTTAAAACTTGTTAAAATTATCAGTTAACTGTTCGACTCGTTCAGCTTATTTATCATCCTAGCGTTAAGATGTCGGGCCCTTGGGGCATGGATGTCGTGGCGCCAACGCCTAATCTACATTAGGTAATGTTAGGGATGTAAAATTTTCTACCAAATAAATTATCAAATGTCTCACATGGATGTGAGGTCCGTAATCCCTACACTGTGAGACATTTACTCATTTATTTAGTAAAAAATTTAAGACCTATAACATTTTCTATTCACATTATTGCTTTCTTGTGGAAAGATGCCGTGTCATGAAGAATAAAATCGTATATAAATTAATAATTATATGTTTATATCTTAATTTTTTTTGACTTGATATGTTAAAATAAAAAATAATCATTTAAATAATATTATTCAATCTAAAAATTGTCCCCTATAATTGTCAATACCATGGTCAAATCAATTATAATTGAAAAGTGTTTTTTCCGCCTATATGAATTCGTTTGGAATGTGGGTTAATTTTTTAGTTTTTTAACTTTTTAGTCTGAGGCTAAAAAGTCCCATTTTGGATAGGTTTTTTTAATTTTTTTGAGTTTTATGAAAGAAAAAATGAAATGATTATGATTTAGATCTGATATTTTATTTTATTAGACTAAGACATTCAGTATTTTAATAATGTCTAAGGTCCCTCAAATTGATGCAGAGAAAATCTCACCAAGAATTTCTCTGGACTTTCACTTCAACCTAGAGAAATTCTCTGAAAACCAGATAAATTCCCCCTCCACTTCAGAGAAATTCACTTAAATCCAGAGAAAATTTAATTCTCTAGGTTTATTTTGATCAATTTTCTCTAGGTTTTCAAATTTTTCTGGGTTCATTTTGATCAATTTTCTCTGGATTTTCAAATTTCTCTGGGTTCCTTCCAGGTAGCGCTGCAGATTGGGCAAACCAGATTACCGTTCTTGCTAACGTGTGTCACTATACAAGGGAAGTGAAACCCATGCAAGCATTTGGCTGTGTATATAGCCATTCCTTGACCTGTCTTCACACTCTGCAAGCACACACCACAGCTATTCTGCAAAAACATACCAAAAGTCCAATCAAATTTCTATTCACGCACACACACATAAATATATGTAAACACATTTTCAGATTATAGAATTCTTACGCTAGAGAAATGAAGACTGTTTTCAAGATTGAAAATGAAGATCTTGGAGAAGATGGGCTCGAACCCCAAAGTCCTCTTGGTGTGGTTTTGCATTGGAGCTTGGGGCTAGCAAAGTTTTCTATACCAGAAGATGCTTGAACTTGTTGTACTACACTGATTGTGAGATCGGGGAGAGAGAGAGAGTGCTACGATTGAATTGGAAATTTCTTTGTGGTATATATGAGTGTGAGAGTTGATAATAAAATAATATTGTGGATCTCCTGCATTACTAAATATGGGAGAGAAACCTTAAACTAATTTTCCCTGTAGCATCCCAAGGCATAATTTGAATCTTTGTAGGAAGTTGAACTTCTAACCTTAATGAGGTAGGTCAGAGTGAATTTATTTTTTATATGATTTGAATCTTTGTAAAAAGTTAACTTCTAACCTAGATCAATTGATCTTTCATTGACATGTTGAGATTGGGAATTGTGGTTTTTATTTAAATTATTACTAGCCTATCACCCGTGCTATGCACGGGATAATTTTATATATTTATATTCGTTTTAGATTTTTTTTAATATATAAATTATGTTTTTTAAGATTTTTTATAAAAATAATTTAACAATCTTATCACTAACCATAGTGTATAGGGAAAGTTGAAAAGGATACTGTAGTAACTATACACAGATTGCATTTGTAATTATTTGTTTGAGGAGATTTTAAATGCTGATAAGGGGATTTTGACCAAATCAATAAATGCAGGCATATAGAAAGACATGTGGATTAAAAGAAGTTAATAAATGCTGAAGAGGAGATTTTGACCAAATCAATAAATGCTGAGTTTTTTTTTTAAAAAATAAAAAATTTAGAAAATTCAGATTGAGATATTGGAGCTCCCATAGGCCTTGGGGTTAAAAACCCCCTTTTGCTTAATATATAGTATAGAAGTATGGATTTTAAAAATTATAATCCAAAATTGAACTAAATAAACTCACTAAATAAAGAAAAAAAAAACTATGAATAACCCCAATTCATAATTATGTTGTAGTTTTTGTTTATAAATAATTTAAATAAATTAAAAATATATATATTTTTAAATTTTGAATAAAAATTATCAATAGTACTCTTATCACGCAATATATATATATTTTCCAGCAATTAGGGATGTTTAGTTCAGTTATTTGACATTTCAACTAATTTTAGTCTCTTATCCGATCAAAAATAGTTCATCCACACTAAAACTTAAAAAACTTATGAAAATTGATTTTTTTCATGTGTGACCTCAAAAATCAAACGGGGACCAGTTGTGTGAAAGCAATCCACCAACTGCTCGGGACAATCGTAAAGCCATGTTTGTTTGGCTTTCTGCGAAAGGGAATTAGATTAATAGTATGGAAGACTATCAGTAGAGTATTTGGTTGGAGAAATAAGTGAGAGAATTAACTATTCCTATTGGTAGAACTACTAATCATATGGTGGGGTTGAGATTAAAAATTGAGTGAGGGAATTAGAGAATTTTTAAATGATTTTTAAGCAAATTAAAAAAATATTACTATCTATAATATTACTAATCTGGTGGTATACAAACAAACACTCTTCTCAAATGGCTTCTCTGCCAATGCTCCTCCGAGCAAACTCAAGTTCTTCTGAGCAAACTCAAGCTCCTCTGAGCTGACTCCTCTGGACGATGTTTCTCTAATGATCACTCATGCTCCCAATGCTTCTCTGAGCTAACTCGCAGTGGGTCATCGCATCGCGACTTCCTCCTCCACTTGAGTAAATGTCCAGCCAGAGGGTTACCCATTGCCAGAGGGCACGAGTTTGAGTTAAGCTAGAGGGCTTCATTTTGCTAGAGAGCATGAGAAAATTCGAGTTTACAAAGAACGCATTAGCCAGAGGGTTACAATTTGTCAGAGGGCTAAGTGTTTAGTTGGAGACATAAGTGAGAGAATTAACTATTCCCATTAGTAGAACTACTAATCATATGGTGGGGTTGAGATTAAAAATTGAGCGAGAGAATTAGAGAATTTTTAAATAATTTTTAAGAAAATTAAAAAAATATTACTATCTATAATATTACTAATTTGGTGGTATACAAACAAACACTCTTTATCCTATATTTCTAACTTAGGGCTAGTTTGGGGTAATCTGAATCAGCAAAAAAGTCAAAAAGTTACTCCAAAATCCAAAAAGATATCACTATTCATCCAAAAAAAAAATAAAAAAATTAATTTCTTTCAAAACAGGTACACACGGAATTGACAAATAGTCAGCGGCTGTGTGCGGCAGTGCAGAACAAAAGAAATGATTGGGTGTGATTTTTATACATACCGTTGTTCATCCCATGGGGCCATCACGGGTCCCGTTTTGATAATCTGAACCGTTCAATATGTAGAAATCGTCGAGTAATATATGTCTGCCAAAAATCACATTAATCGGATATCGATAACTATATGATCAAATCAGTTATGTACAACAAATGGATGGTGTTATAATTAATGATTGAAAAATAAATAAATCTAATCAGATAGCTATCGATATCCGATTAACATGATTTTTAGCTAGAGGGCTTCATTTTGCTAGAGAGCATGAGAAAATTCGAGTTTACAAAGAACGCATTAGCCAGAGGGTTACAATTTGTCAGAGGGCTAAGTGTTTAGTTGGAGACATAAGTGAGAGAATTAACTATTCCTATTGGTAGAACTACTAATCATATGGTGGGGTTGAGATTAAAAATTGAGCGAGAGAATTAGAGAATTTTTAAATAATTTTTAAGCAAATTAAAAAAATATTACTATCTATAATATTACTAATTTGGTGGTATACAAACAAACACTCTTTATCCTATATTTCTAACTTAATAGCATTACATTAATAATTTCTTCGCTATATCTCATCGTACTTTTAATATCTTCTATCTTATTGAACCAAACAAGCGTGACCTAGATTAATATATTTTTTGACAATTATGAGTTATTTGGAAAGTGTTAAATTAATATACCTTTTAACTTTTAAAAAAATATAGAAAATATTTTTTAAAATTGAAATATTGTGATAAAGAAATAATATAATTTAAATAAAAAATAATATAATGTAAATAAGGTTAGGTTTGACATCTCTTTAAAAAAGTTAAAAAGACACTATCCTATTTAAATCACATCATCTTATTTAAAGTCATATTATTTCTCTACCACATCACTTCAAACATAACTCATATTTTATAAAAAGTCAAAAAATATATTAACTTACAACATCTCAAACAATTTCTAAATAATTAAGATCTAAATAAAATAATATGTTAAAATAACGTGCTCTCGCACATGCGAAATAAGTTCGACACAAACAAAACAAAAACAAAAACAAACTCCAAAGTAAGAAAAAGACCAGTTCAAAAAAAAAAAAAAAAAAACAAAACAAAACAAAACAAAAAAAAACCGAGTAAGAAACAAAAGATAAGAGTGACACGATCACACGACGTCACCACTCCGCGCAGACTACTTAAGCTTCCCCCACCCGTATGTTCGACCTTCCCCATTCCAATTGAGTCTGTGTCTAGAGAGAGAGAGAGAGAGAGAATGAGGATCGAAGACGGGAGTGATCAAGTCTCTGCATCGACGAAGCACCTTGTATTTGCCTACTATGTCACTGGCCATGGCTTTGGTCACGCCACTCGTGTTGTTGAGGTCCACTCTATAGCTTCCTCCATTTTTTTTTCCTCTCTCTCTCTCTCTCTCTCTCTGATATACAGCTTTTTTTGGGGATTGGGAATACTGGGTTTTTAATTTTTAGGGTTTTTGATTAATTTTTCCATACTGGGTTGTTAAATTTTATTTATTTATTTATTTTTCTTTTCCCTTTCAAATTTCATATTTACAATCAAATTTGATCATGATGATACTTATAAGGACCATGGTTATGGTAAAAGAATTGTTTTTATTATAATAACCCATAAAATTTGGTAGTTGTATTATTGCATGGTTCTTTACTTCCTCAATTTGCTTCAATTTTGTAGATTTAGTTGTAGATAATAGTGTGCTAATCTGGCTGGTTCAGTAATGGTGGATGATGAAGAATACTAATCCTCTAATTGACGAGAAACATATAGAATTGATGGGGTGATCCTGGTTCGGTTTAGGAGTAAACCAAGACCAAATCACCACCTACGGTTCCAAGAAATTTGGAACCAAGACCAAATCACCACTTACGGTTCCAAGAAATTTGGAACCATACCAAACCATAAAATTCTCGCAACCAAACCAAACTGAACCAGTAAAATGCAGTTTGGTTTGGTTTGGTTTTTGGTCTGAAACCACGGTTTTATGAAACCTTGTCATTTATAACATGGTCACAAAATATTACTCACAATCTACTCAAATATGAAGCAATACGCCATTATTTATAAACCATAATAGTGTAGAACTAGTTCTATTACTATACAATAACAAGTTTGCAAGGATAGAACATTGACAATTTATGTATAAAAATACGGTACTAATTAGGTACTTCAGTGTTTATGATAAGTAATAAATTATATATATATATATATCTAACTGGTCTGGTTTGGTTCCATACGGTTCCATAACTATAAACCATGGACCGAACCATATGGTTTGCTTATTTCAAGAACTAGGACCAAACCGTGCATTGAGAAAACCAAACCAAACTGATTTGGTTTGGATCGGACCGGTTTGCGGTTTTTTTGGTTTTGTTGCTCAGCTAATTGAAAAGAGAATTCAATACCCATGATTCCAATTTTTTCTTGTTGATTTTTCAAGAAATTGGAATATGAATGAGATTGAATGAATCAAGTTTCAAACTTTAGTTAGTTTTGTTTCCTCAGAAAGAAAGAAAAAGAAAAATTGATAATGAGGCCATGATTTGTTTTCCTTTTGTTCAGTTTTTTCTAGGCAACAAAACAGAGGGCTAAGTGATTATTACTTTAGGTTTGGCTAGCTAATTGAATTCTGTTACTTTCTATTAGTTGTTTACTGTTTTAGCTCTTGTGTTGTGTAGGTGGTTCGACACCTCATTCTTGCTGGACATGATGTTCACGTAGTCACTGGTGCCCCCGACTTTGTTTTCACAACCGAAATACAGTCTCCTCGACTCTTTCTTCGCAAGGTCTGTCCATTTATAAAAATTGCTGCATGTTGGAAGCATCTCTGCTATAGTTATTTCTGTTCCTACTCTTTTTTTTCTTTTCCTTTTTCTTTTTTGAGTCTTAACCTATGATACAACACTTATTCTATTTTTTTAAGGTTCTTTATCTCACTTTTTTTTTTTTCCAATGCACTTCAGTGTTGCTAACCTTGTAAATCTTGATACTGTTAACCTGAAACTGTGTATGTACACATACAAACACACACAGTCTCTCTCTCTCTCTCTCACACACACACACACAAACACTTATTTGTGTAAGCCTTTCCATTTATAATAATTAATATGTGGGAAACAGCTAGTGCTAGACTGTGGAGCCGTTCAAGCAGACGCTTTGACGGTGGATCGCCTTGCTTCCTTGGAGAAGGTATGGCTGATTACCTATGATAAGAGCTACAAAAATGTGTATACATTTATCAGAGTTAATTAGGACGTGTTTGGTATCATTTGTGTTTTCTGTTTTTTTTTTTTTTGGTTCTCTTAAATTGAAAATAAAAATAAAAATGAAAACTAATATAGAAAACTTGTTTGGTAAACTCTTTTTGGAATATTTTATTGAAAAACTCCTAATTTTTTTTCTTTGTATTTTCAAAATCTTTTTTCACACAAAAATGAAATAGGATGGGTGTTTCCTAACTTTTCATTGTTTTTGTTTCACACATTCTGATGCATTTTTTTTGGAGGGTAGGGTTATTCTTTGATTTATGCTTGTACGTGCCTGCTTGCATTACTAATTATATCTATTTTGTTTTATTTGGTTAAACTAGTATTCCGAGACAGCTGTAAAGCCTCGTGATTCCATTCTGGCAACGGAAGTAGAGTGGTTGAACTCCATAAAGGCTGACTTAGTGGTAATTCTGCTTTTTGTTTTTTTCCTTGTATTTGGATATGTCTTTTGATTATTTTGAGTGGGTACTTGGAAAGGGATACTTCAATACATAGTTAAATGTGATATCAGAGTGTAATTTTCTGCTGGAGTGAAGTATTTCTTTATAAAACTGGAGTTGTGTTGAGATAGTTGTCCCATTTGAAGGTAGGATCTTATATGATATTAGTAAGTACTTTCATGGAAACAGGTTTCAGATGTTGTTCCAGTTGCATGCCGTGCAGCAGCTGATGCTGGTATTCGGTCTGTTTGTGTCACCAACTTCAGGTAGCTTGTCATTGTTGACATTCTTTTTACTTAAATTATCTACTTTTTTCTTTTGTTAATTACGTTTGTTTCTAGCGTGCAAGCCAAGATGAAAACACGCTAATGCATTCTAATGGATATGACATGCATAAGAACAAGCCAAACACTGCTTAGAAAAATAAATTTTATGACTTTGAAACCCGTTCTCACATGAACCAACTTGTCTTGCATTCGAACCGTGAACACATTGTAATTTATTTTCCAAAATATGTCTTGCGTATGAATGAACACCAATTGCATTCGAACGCACTGTGCACTACTGATTTTCCAAAACATGTCCTGTATACGGACACACCAATGATCAAGCACATTTGTACATAATTTATATCTACAAGTTTCTTTTGCTAAGATCTCACTAGTACTAAGTCATATTGTTAGAAATTCTGATTTTCCACGAACATGAGAGGTCCTTGTTATTTGCAATATAGGCCAAGTTTTACAAGAAACAATATTGCGTTCTTAGTTTTCCTAATATTTTTTCCTTGTTTTTTGGGCTATGTTCTCTCCTGTAATAATCATATATGGTTCCACCAATGCTTAAGCAATTTATGGATTCTATATTTGGTTCCACCAATGTTTTTTGGTTCCAATTTCCAACTCATTTTCACCTAAACTAAATTTTTTAAATGTCAATGGTATTTGGAAAAATTATTTTGCTTACCTACTCTTGTCCTAATCAGTCAAATTAATATTTATCTTCTTTATCAGTCAAATAAATATTTTTCCCCTGCAGTTGGGACTTCATCTATGCAGAGTACGTGATGGCAGCTGGCAACCATCATCGGTCGATAGTTTGGCAGGTGATCCTTTGCTTTATCTTTTTTGTGCAGTTTTGGTTATCTAGTTTTTCGGTGGGCCTAGTGATAGCAAATCTATTTCCAAATACATTTCTTTCCTTGGTTAGCTTTTTCTTTTTATCAGTATGAGGTCAATGTGTCCACCTTGTATGATGCATATTGGGTGAATTAGGTGATATTTTTGGCACATTAGTCAGTGTTGCTTAGTTTTTGGATTGATAAAGTTTAGGAAGATGAATATGCTTATGATGACACTAGTTACTTGCATACTTCTAACATGAATTGGTGCAATGCGTTATGGGCACATCAATGGAAATGGTTAAAAAAGGCTAATAGACTTTGGAAGAGGACATGCATATCGAGGAATCTTCTATATATATCTTGCTTAAGGAGGGTTACATAAGTGGGGGTATGCTGAAGAAAGCTATGAATGGGATTAAATGATCTCTTGAGCTTGGTTTTGTAAATTTATTGTAGTAATTAAATCTTTGGAATTGAACTATCTAATTATTTATCATTCGAGTGAAAGATGCATAGTGGAATTACATTCATCCTGTTTCAGTTGATAACATTCTTGTTCCCGGTAATGATGCAAAAGGTATTTCCTGATCTTGAAACCGACCTTAACCAGAACCAGTTGAAAACCTCATGGACTTCTAATGTAATATTGGGGAGGGGAGAGGGAAAATTAGTTGGTGGTCATGGTAAACTTAGACTATTGGTGGGAAAGATTATGCATGGTGGTACACCTGGAATACTGGTTGGAAAGCTTACACATGTAACCACGACTAGTCCAAATACTGCATTTGTTGTTTTTGTTTGCTGATTTATGCAAAGTCTAAGGCAAGGACATTGAGATATTGTGTCGTATCTTGCGGTATCTTAAGGGTGCTTCAAGAAAAAGTCTATATTGTTGTGGGCTATTCTGATATAGATTAGGGTGGAGGTTTTGGATGGGAGATCAGTTTGGATATTGCACATCATTTTGTTTAAATTGTTTGAAATTTTGAAGGCTTGGTTTGGTTTGTTTGAAATTTTGTATCTTGATGTGCTAGATGGGGTCAATGTGGGGGAGGAGTCAATGTTTTGAGAGGTTGATGTACATTGTAGATCCCATTCTTAAATATAGCTTCAACATTTGGTGCAATAGGTTGTCCAACAATACATATACATAAATACTTTTATAATATATAAATTATAATACATAATTCTATTTATATAATTTTCTATTAATGTTCCCTTATAATTTTTTATTTTTTTTTCAATCATGTGGAACTTGTTCTATTGTTAAAAGTTTACTGTCTTTTGGCATTTCTTGTGTCTATGTGCAACTATTTTTTTGCTTTTGGTGTTGTTTTTAATTCTTGTTCTTTTTGTTCTTTCCTTTTTGGTGAAATAGTAAGTTTCTTTTGTTGGTTGGTTGATGCAGATTGCAGAGGATTATTCTCACTGTGAGTTCTTAATCCGCCTTCCAGGATACTGCCCAAGTATGTTGCTCTAGCAAATTGACCAGATACTAAATTTCTTTCTTTTATTCATTATTTCTCCTTGCATCTGGTGTCGTAAATTTTGAATGGTCTTTATTCCCCAATTTGTGTCCTTAATATTTCAGTGCCTGCTTTTCGTGATGCGATTGATGTACCTTTAGTTGTGAGGAGGTTTCACAAATCTCGCAAGGAGGTTTGGATCATTAATTTTGTCTTTTCCATGGTAGGGATAATTTAAAATGTAGGTTATTTGTTCATGTTTTAATTTTTTGCTTACTTTTGGTAATCCAGGCAAGGAAGGAGCTTGGGATCGGAGAAGATGTGAAACTTGTTATCCTGAACTTTGGTGGTCAGGTGTGTTACTGATTTGTCACTTTCTTGTGCCATGCCTGAGTAACTGCTTGCTTTATTGTACTTGTTATACTAATCTCTTAGTGAAATATGTTTTTTTTAATGTAGCAAGACCTGTTGTCAGGATCTTTACCACCTGATCATGCTGGCACTTGACTTGAGTACAATATGTATCTTAGCATATTACTGCGTCAGTACATGAGTTCAACTGCCTATGATATAAGCTGTTTGATCTCATGGATCAAAATCTTGCTATAGCAAGGTGTACATTGCATTGCATATTGATTAGTTGCTGCTTTAGTTGACCAGTGAATGATTTGTTACTCTGTTTCCAGTGAACGATTTCCTTTTTAAATTTTGAATAATTTTTAGTGTAAATCTGAACACCCATTGTTCATAAGTTACATCTGTTTGGATGTTAATCTCCTTGGTGGATTTTAATTGTTTTTTATTCTGCTATCTACCATTTGCAGCCAGCAGGTTGGAAGTTAAAAGAGGAGTACTTGCCTTCTGGTTGGCTCTGCCTGGTATGTTTTATGGCATATGTTTTAGATTTGGGTTCTTATGTGCTTAAGTAGTTGGAGATATAATGGATGGTTTGGTTAAAAGTTCTTTTTATTCTGTCATTCAGGTTTGTGGTGCTTCTGATAACACGGAGCTTCCTCCGAATTTCATAAAGCTAGCAAGAGATGTGTATACTCCTGATGTCATAGCAGCATCTGACTGTATGCTTGGTCAGTATGAGAGTTTTTAGCTAATCTGAAGTCATTGAATGAAAGCAAGCAATGTAGCATCCTTATGATTAGCTTATTGTTTCAGGAAAAATTGGGTATGGCACTGTCAGTGAAGCTCTGGCATACAAGTTACCATTTATCTTTGTACGTAGAGATTATTTCAATGAAGAACCATTTTTAAGAAATATGCTGGAGGTACAACTGAATGCTGCCCTTCTTTTTCATGGTTCATTCTTTCATTTGGTTGATAAGCATCTGATAGCTGTCATGAAATATAAATTTTTGAACAGTATTTTCAAGGTGGTGTTGAGATGATTAGGAGAGATTTACTAACTGGGCAGTGGAAACCTTACCTTGAACGTGCAGTTAGTTTGAAGCCATGCTATGAGGGAGGCATTAATGGTGGTGAGGTATTTTCTTGTGATTCATGATGAATAAAACACTTTATTCTTGCACGTTTATGGTTAAAATGATAAAAGATTCTGTTGAATTTATTGTTTGTTGTGCCTCTTAATTATTTGCTGTTTATTTTGGGAGCCACAATGAAGAATGAAAAATCTGATCAAGATGCAAACATTTTTTTTCCCCTTCGATTAAACTTGAAGAAATTATGAAGTGAAAATTATGCTTTGCACATACATAGAATATTGGAAGGTGTTCAACAAGCGTGTTGGACACACTAATACTGTGTTTGGTTGGGAGATTTGGGAGGGGATTTAGAAATAGAAAGGGAAAAGGTGTGTGAAACTAGGTGAAATATAGGTATATTTTATTCACATTTCACCTATCTTTTCCCTTTCTTTTTCCAAATCCCTTCCCAAATTCCCCAACCAAACACAGCATAAAGGCCACAAAGAAAGGAGTTAGTTCCGCCACATCCCTTGAATATTATGAAGCATAATGATTAATATTTTTTTATTACTTGGTATTCGGCCCACTGGACTGACAAATCCGGGGGACCAATCCCATTTTCCACTAATGGGGCCCCCAATTAAAGTAGGGTCAAAGCCATGTATGGACTGGCCCCGAAAAATTATTTGCACCTAGGAGGTTTCGAACTTGAGACCATGGTGGGAGCACCCCCACGCCGCAGGCCTTGACCACCAAGCCAACCCCTTGCGGTTAAACATAATGATTAATATAGCATTATATAATTGTATTCATATTTAGGTATAATCATATTCTTAATTTGAAAGGGAAGGGTTCAAAACTTTGAATTGACATATATTACTTTAAAAATAAAAATAAAAATAAAAATAAAAAAACCCTTCCAATTTACGTGATTAAATATTATAATGACACCTTGAAGTCCATGTTTTAGCATTGCCTTCATCATTTCATGGTTGTAAGCTAACTGCGTCTAGTTGGCTGAACTCACAACCTGAAGTTGGCTGAACTCACAATTCAAGCATAGTTCTGTTGTACATTTCTTTTTCTTATTTTTTGTTTTTCTTGATTGTGTGAGGGTTTGCCCCCTCGGAACGTTCTCTAATACAATTTTCTTTGTTGCTCATCAAAAATAAACAAATCAGGTTGCAGCTCGAATTTTGCAGGATACAGCTGTTGGAAAGAACTATGCTTCAGATAAGGTGAACAAATTTATGTATCTTGTTGCATCTTTTCCATTGTCTCTTTGCTCTAGTTTTGACTTTCTTCAGCTCTACTCTTTAGTATTACATTATGTGACAGTAGGTTTATGATGAATCGAAGCAATTTAAATTGAGTAAATGACTTAACTACGCTTGTCAACTTTAACTTGGATTAGTTATAAAATTGTTCTGATGGTATGGCCTAACCAAAACGGTGGTTCTTCTTTTTCTTTTTTTTGAAGTGTTTTCAAATGATGGTAAAATTTAGTTATCTTCCTCAATTTAAGTTAAAAGTAGGATCAGTGGGGCTGTAAATTTGGATTGTCAGCTGATTTGGGTACTCATGCAGGGGGCATTGCTTGCAGTTCAGATTGTAAAAGAATGCTCACTGATATTCTATGCAAAATAATCTGTCCAAATTCTTGAAAATAGTTTACATATACAATCATTTGTAGAAAGAAAACAACACGGATTACCTATGTGAAAATTGTTATTCCATGCATTTTGTTCCTTCTTAATCATTTTTCTTCTCTTGCCTTGGATTATAGCTTAGTGGAGCAAGGAGATTGCGGGATGCCATAGTTCTTGGGTACCAATTGCAAAGAGTCCCTGGAAGAGATCTTTGCATTCCGGATTGGTATGCAAATGCTGAAAATGAACTTGGTCGTCGTACTGGATCACCTACTGCTAACATGACTGAGAATAGCTTCCATATGAAGTGAGTTTCTTATCTTCACTGCTTCTTAAATAGTCTTAACTAGAGAAAACAGTCGATTGAATGCTGATTTTGACCTCTCTCCCCACATAGTTACACTGAAGACTTTGAAATTCTTCATGGAGATCTTCAAGGGCTTCAGGATACAATGAATTTCTTGAATAGCTTGGCAGAACTTGATGCTGTCAATGATTCTGGAAAGAATACAGAGAAGCCCTGGATGCGGGAACGCATGGCTGCTGCTGGTATCTTCAATTGGGAGGTCTTTTTCATTCCGCTAAAACTCACTGCATTTTCTTACTTACCATTGATTGGGCAGTGCTGGTAGCACTTTACTAGTTGACAGTAAAATTCAGTCGTCAGTCTGTATTTTTTACTTTTTTGTCGCTCCAAACAGTAATATCAGGATGACCTATCGCTGTCTTGTCTTTGCTACACCAAATGGGTGCTCATTTGTTTGCATGTGAGGCCATTGGTCTAAAGTAATACACATGAGGTTAAGCAAATTGCTAGACATTAAAGTGTGTAGTCCTACTAAGATTTTTTTTTCTTTGATGCTAGATGTTCGTTTCTTCTGTTCTCCTTTTATGTTTTTCTTCAATTCTCATTTGTTGAACTCCCACTTTGAGTGAGTGTGTGTGGAGGGGAAGGGTGACTCAGGATTCACTTTCAGTCATGAATTTATTTTATTTTAATATTTTCTGAGCAACATCATATAATGTTACTTACCCAAAAAAAAAACATCATATAATGTTTGGCCACAAAATATGATTCAGTCTTACAACTATTGATTTTTTATTTTTTAAAAATTTTACTCTATGAATGACTGCTGCAGCTTATTTTATTTATGAAATAATAGGGAGTACAGTGTTCTTGACTACTTGTAGATTTCTAGCTGTTTCACTAAGAAGCATGGACACGGACACGTGACACGACACGAGTACGACACGGACACGCTGACACGTTAATTTTCAAAAAATGTAGAACATGACACGTGAGGGACACGCATGAAATATGTAATTTTATATATTTATTATATGTTACATATATGAATATATCATTAAAAAGATAATAAAAAATACAATATGATACTAATTCCTATAAATTTATATAGTTTTTGTTTTATTATTGTATCTTAAGTTGTTTTGTTCAAACTTATAATTAATTTCACATATGTCTAATCGTTAGACACTTGTATTTAAGCGATGGACACGTATGTCCTTCAAGTGTCCAAAGAGTGTCCAAGTCTTTAAAACAATTTAAAAAATAGGACACGTTTTGAAGAGTGTCGGACACGTGTCCTGAGAGTGTCCAAAGAGTATCGGTGTCCGACACGGATACGACATGAATACGTCACCTTCTTAGAAGTGTCCGTGCTTCTTAGCTGTTTCAACGATTTCACTGTTAAATATTTACTTATACAGGAAGAGATTTTTGTGGCAAGAGCACCTGGAAGATTGGATGTAGTCGGAGGAATTGCAGACTATTCTGGAAGCCTTGTCTTACAGGTGAGATATTTCTGGTAAAAATATACATTCTTGATTTACACAGCGGTACTGGTGTATTGATGAGCCTGAATGGAATAATAATTGGCCATACTTATGGTCCACCCTTGGTCTTAGATATCTCCTTTTGCTCATCTTCTGACCTGACCCAAATTAATTCAGTTGTGCTTCTAATTAATTTTCAGTTATAGAACTAGAAATTAGTTCCATATTTGTGATTGCTTGTTCTCTAAACACAATCTGTCCATTAGCCATCCATCCTTGAATGTAATGGATTAGATATAGCCCAAGTATTAATATTCTCAATAATGAAACATTTAGAAAAGAAATCTGTAATAGTTCTGATGTTTTTGAGCAGTTTTAAATTGCCTTTTTACTTTTCTTTTTTTCATTATTATAATTATAATTTTGTATTAAATATCTCACAGATGCCTATCAGAGAAGCCTGCCACGTGGCTGTGCAAAGAAATGATCCAAGTAAACAGAGGCTCTGGAAACATGCCCAGTCTCGGCAGAATGCTAAAGGACAAGGTTCAACACCTGTGCTGCAAATTGTACGTACAGGGCATTTAAGTGCATGTTATCTCTTCAGTACATGTTTGATCATTTCAGTAAGAAAATAAATCCACCTAGAAAAATATAGATGATTCTCCGTGTTACATGGACTTTATACCACGGTACCCACATCAGCATGATATGACAAAGGTAAGGGTATGGGGTGCGTCCAACCCCCATTTGAGAATTAGACACTGAAACCCCTATAATATCTGATGGCCTAAGAAATAAGAAGAAGCTCATATTTGATAGTCAAGAATGGTTTCTTGTTTCTTACATAGATAGCGAGATAGGACTCCTCTTTTGCTGAATCCCATTTAATTTCAAGTATATTGCTGACTATCCCCAGGTAAGAACAGCATCCTACATTACATGGCTGTTCAAAATACAATTTACTTAAATATTACAGATGTGTCTACCGACCCAAACTCAACTTTTAGATACATATCCCTATATCCTAAGATTTGGGGTTTGGGGAGATCATACACCTAGAAAGTTTTGCACCCCATAGTTATACCCAAGTCCATGCAAAGTAGGATTCTCCTCATGTTCTTTGGGAGAATGGAGAGTGTATATTATTTTCTACTAATTTTAAATTTAGAACATCACATTACAAGGAGTAGCTTCAAGTTCTTGGAGTCAGCATAATAGCTGCCCAAATATGCAAAGTATGCATGTGCATATGTTTGTTTATTGCTACGCTAGTCAATCTCTTTCTTCATCAGCATGTTGTGGCCTTATCAGGTGTCGTATGGGTCAGAATTAAGCAATCGTAGTCCAACATTTGACATGGATTTATCCGATTTTATGGATGGAGAGCAGCCAATATCTTATCAAAAGGCAAAAGAATATTTTGCTCGAGATCCATCCCAGAGGTGGGTCACTTCTATGCATTTGATCTTTCGAATTTATCTGACTTCATATCCTCTACTTAAATAATTTCTACTTTAGATGGGCAGCATATGTTGCAGGGGTAATTCTGGTTTTAATGACGGAACTAGGCGTGCGCTTCAAGAATAGTATCAGCATGCTGGTACAAGTCTCTCCCTTTGTGCTTGAAGTGTATTTTGATTGTTTTTTCCCCCAACTTTTTTTCATTTTCAGCAGAGGGAGACTTTTTCATGCTTTGATAAAATTTCAAGTTCTTTCATATGAGCTTAATATGGCTAGTTATCTAGTTTGAATAGATGTAACCGTTTCCACGTTTTCAGTTCACACAGGACATTAAAAACATTTGGTATAAACAGTTCTCTCTTGTGAATTCAGGTTTCTTCTGCTGTCCCAGAAGGCAAAGGTGTATCTTCTTCTGCTTCTGTGGAGGTTGCTAGCATGTCTGCCATTGCTGCTGCTCATGGTGATTACAATATTTTCACTACACAGATTTTAAATACTGTCATGTTAAATTGCACTGTTAAGTTAGCTTTGACAAATTTGATTATTACTTTAGCATCGTCCGCTTTCTTTCTTTCGTTTTTTTTTTCTTTTTTTTTTCCTTTTTGGGATGTATATTGTGTTTAAGACAAATAAGAAAAGTTTTGAACTTCAGCCACATTCACAAATTCGAACCTAATCAAATGTTATTTAGCTTAGATGAGTAATGTTTTGTAGAGCCTGTTAGAAGTTTAGTGTTCTCAGCAAGGTTCATCAGGCATGAATATTCTCTTTGACCTTATTCAATCATTCTTACTTCTTGTGGGTGTCTCATATTCTACCCAGTTTGTGCTTATATGATTTGTTTGCGACCTGCACCCGATGAGTGGTGGATATTACATTGTTTAGTGTTTTGTTCCCACAATATATTTGTTTTTTCTACTACTACATTTTTTTTTTTTTAAAGATGTTAAGAATCTTTCTATACAATACGCGATTCAAAAATATAGATCTTTGCACAATAGTGAGTGGTGGTTAACAGAAGGATATGGTCCCAATAATCCTAGGTTGAGAAATGATTTGTGGGAGAAACTAGTGGATTTATTTGGGTTACACTTTCGTAGTTGGTGTGTAGCGGTGATTTTAATGTTATAGTCTGTTATGTGGTGAGGTTGAATATGTGTTACTGGTTCTTTGACTTGGTCATCTAGTTGAGGGGAACAATGTACAAGAGAAAAAGAAAGAAAACTTTGTTACCTAGTTCTCATGTGGAATCATTTCAATTCATTTTGAGCCTATCACAAATTTAAATTTATTTGAACTAAAGAATTAATTGAGTTTTACTTCCATCTACTTTCTGCAGGTTTAGACATCAGCCCCAGGGATCTTGCTTTGCTCTGCCAAAAGGTTTGACCTTTGACGTTCCCTTTAGATAATTTTTATTCACTTCTACCCCTAGTATGTGTAATTCTGACATCCCATATGCAAAGTTCTTGTCTAAGCTTACGTAGAAATTATTTGATAGGTAGAGAATCATGTAGTTGGAGCTCCATGTGGTGTGATGGACCAGATGACTTCAGCGTGTGGTGAAGCCAACAAACTTCTTGCTATGATTTGTCAGGTATGTGTCATTAGTAGTCTAGAAAACAACTCTGCTAAAATTATTTTTTATGTAAGGACTCTGGCTAAAAGTTGTGCTTGTAATTATGCAGCCTGCTGAGGTAATAGGGCTTGTGGCTATTCCTAGTCATATACGGTTTTGGGGAATTGATTCAGGAATAAGACACAGGTACAAGGTCTTTCATGCTTTGTTTTAATATTTCTTTGTGAGTTAGTGATGGGCCGTTTAGTAATTAATGATGCTTAATTTTTTTATGGATGATTATTCAAACTAGAGCTTACCTAAATTGTGCTATTTAAGGCACCAATTGTGTTCTTACATGGATCATATTAATCCTTCTTTGCTAGTTTATTATTGGGGAACTCTCTATTCTTGTTCTTTTACATGGACCTCTTGTTACAAACACCTGGCTGGCATAGATCAACCCTGAACACACAACATAATTCACGTGCGTATATATTCCTGTTTTTCATTTTTGTTCGCATCTTCCGGTTTTGCAAGATCTTGAAGTCTCATAATGCATTAGTTTTATTTTAACGACAAAAAGGAATTTTGTTTAGAACATAACTCTATAGTTTGCTTCAGAGGGGAGGGCCATTGATCACTTAAAACATATTCCCTTCCCCATGCCGTGCAAGAAAATCATGCACTCCTGTCTGCCAACCCCCTGTTCCTACACCACAAAAAGGAAAATTGGAAAAATGTTTCCTCAACTTCAATGACAATTTTGATATTTTTTTTTTCCAGCATTGGCGGTGCAGACTATGGATCTGTAAGAGTGGGGGCCTTTATTGGTCGAAAGATGATAAAGTCTATTGCGTCTACAATGTTGTCCCAATCATTGTCAAGTGCAAATGGGAACATTGATGAATTGAATGAGGATGGTGTTGAGCTACTCCGAGCTGAGGCTTCATTAGATTACTTGTGCAACCTGTTGCCTCACAGGTATTGTTAATTGCACGAGCATCTTATATGTAGAGTAATGTACCTAGTTAATCTTGTGGTATATTTGGTCAGTCTGATGTATCAGTTTTCGTGAGCTGTCTCCCTGTCCCCACACCTTTTCTTTTTTATTCTGATATTATTTTTTACCTCTGTATACATTTTCAGCTTGTGCCGATAATTTAGAAATAAAGTACGTGGAAAGAATGATGCTTCCATTAAAGCGAGTTAAAGCTCCTCTAATTGTATTTAATTTTTGTTTGTTTTTGTTTATGTAGATATGAAGCTCTTTACTGTAAGCAGCTTCCAGATTCTATGCTAGGTGAGAAATTTTTGGAGCAGTATGTTGATCACGATGATCCAGTCACAATCATTGACCACAAGCGTAGTTATGGAGTTAGAGCAGCTGCAAGACATCCTATGTATGAGAATTTCCGAGTGAAGGTTTGTAACTTTAATTTGACAACCTATTTGATTATTGGGGCATTGGGTTTGTTTCATGGCAGAATCTTTGTTCGGGTCCCCCCCACGTATTGTGTCCTCCATTTTTTTAAAAAATTAACGTGTCAATGTGTCCGTATCCGTGCTTAGGGTAGAAGGCACTGTGGGCATCACATATCATGGATTACCAACCATTGATACCCTCAAAAAAGTATAAAGCCATTCAGCTTCCAGCACACTATTAAGAACCCTCTAAATGCATAAAAGATAGAATCATCTACCTATTGATGTGGATTATGTACGTATAATTTTAATAACTGAGTTCCCCTTCTATGATATTTGATGTGTAGGCCTTCAAAGCTCTGTTAACTTCTGCTGCATCAGATGAGCAACTCACGGCTCTTGGAGAATTAATGTATCAGGTACTTGCATATTTCTGGTCATGCAGGCTTCCTCCTGGATTAAAAAATTTCATTGGTGGTGTTTCCCACTTACAATACTTTGTTTCTTTGGATGATCAATACTGAGTTTTTATCACTTATAATCAAAAGCTTGTTCGGCTATCATGTCTCAAGTAAGAGACTGTTTTGTGTTTTATGAGCACATGTTAGTGACAGTTCTGCATCAATTGTCTTTCACATTTATCAATTGAGAACCAAGGACTGCAATGCTTTCGGAAATACTGAAGTAAAACAAGGAAGGCAAAATGGATTGTAGTTGCTGATACGCTACCTTGTTCTGCAGTGCCATTACAGTTACAGTGCTTGTGGACTTGGCTCGAATGGGACAGAGAGGCTTGTGCAATTGGTGCAAGAAATGCAGCACAATAAAATGTATAACACTGAAGACAGGACTTTATATGGAGCAAAGATTACCGGTGGTGGATCAGGTGGGACAATTTGCGTCATTGGCAGGAATTGTCTGCGGAGCAGCCAACACATTCTCGAGGTAAATTTACTCCTTTACTTGAAAAGAATAACTAAAGATATGTTACTCTGATGTGTATTACACCCTATGATGATTGAAAGTCCAATTGCTATGAAGCACTGGCATTTTCGTTTCTCTATGAAACCGACATAATGCTCAAGATAAAAAAGATCCAGATAGTTCTTGTTTTCGTATTAACATGATAGGTAGTGAGTCCTTGTAAATGGGCAGAGCCAGGTGCTCTTATTTTACAATTTAGGGACGATTATTTCCATTATTGACCAAAAGACACCAAATTCTCCTTAAAGTCCTTTCAGCTCTATCCTTTTAGAATTTTTATACAGAATTCTCCTCCATAATGATGTGACAGTTGTAGACTTGTAGTTTTGTAATTAAAAACCATTTTGATGGATTCTTTGTTTTGAAATAACAAGTATAAATTCAGCCACATCATTCTGTAGTTCATTTATGTAAACCTTTTCTGTTTGTAAATCATTATTTTTTTTAAGGTAGTCTTCAGCACCATATACTTAATTTTAGGCTGCTACTTGGTTTGAGTTTTCATACTTATTCCTTTCATATCTTGACGATTTATCTCGTAGTCCATTGTAGCTCAATTTACAACTGGAGGACTTTATTAATATGATTGTTATGTATACTGAATTTATAGATTGTGCTGGAAATAATGGCATATCTTTTGTGTTTGAATATCCAGATTCAGCAGAGATACAAAGCTGCCACAGGCTACTTGCCGTTTCTTTTCGAAGGTTCGTCTCCGGGTGCAGGAAAGTTTGGGTATCTGAGAATCCGTCGTCGCAACCCTCCCAAACTACAATAGTGAACTAATTCAAAAATAATAATTATTATAATTGTTTCACATAAGAGAATAATAAAATTATTCATTATTTGTGTTCTACTTTTACGTCCAATTGTGAAACCATTGTGGAACACGCAACTCAAATGTTTGGAAGCACTTTTTTTGAGTCCACTTTTTTCAATAAAATAAACATTACTCTCTCTCTCTGTCTCTCTACTCTGATAATATGTTAATCTTCACTAATCATTGTAGCCATACTCTGGAAATTATTGGACACTAAGTATAAACTTATTTTTTTTTGGGGGGGAGGGGAGGGGTTCCAATAAATATGACTTATTCATATAGAAATTATCTTCGAATATTAATGTACCAAACAGTAACTTAGGCCTCGCTTGGGAACATATTTTTTTAATAACTTTTGACTTTTTGATTAAAATATGATGTAAAAAAAATTAATATGTTTGAGATAATTTTTTTATAAAAAGATGTGTAAAAAATAGAAAAAAAATGAAATATTTGACATTCTAGTGTAGATTGTTGGTTTTTTAATTTTTTTAGTGACTTTTTAACTTTTAAACTAAAAAGTGATATTGGCAAACGGTACCTTAATATCTTTCCACTATCTTCCATTCATCTCCTTCAATATATATGTCTCCCATTCGAATTTAAACAGGATTGAGCAGTCCAATCACGCATATTATAGACCCAACATTGGCCGTGTGAGTGGGTGAGGATTGAGCAGCCCAATCACCCACATTATAGACCCAACATTGGGCGTGTGAGTATGTGGATGTCACAATCTCGAAGATCAAAGTGCTCAGTTTAGTTCAAACCCTTGAACTAGAGACAAGCCGTTCTTCTCCCAATCACAGAAAAAAAAACATGTTAATAAGAACAAATGAGCTATAGGGTAATAAGGGTTGGTATTTTTGTAAATCTGGAAGCAAAGATGATTCCCCAAAAAGTCAATATTTCTCAAAATGATGTCCACAATGTTGAATACAATGATACCACATTGTTAGGTCCATTTCCTAATTATTTAAGCTTTTGGGACAATTGGTGATCTCATACATATATCCAAAGTTCAGGAATCTGGAATGCATAATGTCTTGTGTATGTGGCAACAATGATTACCACAAAGCAAACATCTATGCTATTATAAAGTGAACAGGAAGTTTGGTATCTTGAAGCTTTACTCTCCTCATGCCATGTGGCAGTATTTTTTATTTTTTAAAAAAAAGTTAAACAAAGAGATGGGCAAGGCTTGAACCCATGACCATGGGTTTAAGTACGAGGACTCATACCACGGTGATCTCATACATATATCCAAAGTTCAGGAATCTGGAATGCATAATGTCTTGTGTATGTGGCAACAATGATTACCACAAAGCAAACATATATATATATATATATTTAAAGAATTGAGAAGATCATAAAGAAGAATATAAAGGCATGGTTGAATTGCCAACCAATCTGCTGGTAGAAAGATTCAGGTTTCCACTCATGGTTTTGATTCAGGTTGCTCAAGTTCTTCCATGAACCCCATGGTCATCTTTATGTAGTCTTTAATGTGTGCTTGTCTCCATTCCTTGTAATAGTAAGGCAGAAAATCATAAACAAAAATCTAGAAACAAAGAAAATGACAAAAGAAAAGGAAGATACGAGAAACAAACAAAGAAATCATGTCAAACAAACACTAGAGGGAAGGGAAATATCTATACGAAATGAAAACATGGACAGCCTCCATCCAATGGAAACTAAACTTGCGTTCCTTCTTTTTTTAAATGAAAACATGGAAAGTAAATACCTAGATGTGCAATCAGTTTCATGAACATTCGAACTACCTCCGCAAAAAACAAAGTGAAATGCACAAAAAGAAGGAAACGGAAAAGAGAAATGAAGTAGAAGCTAAATGGAAAAAAGAAATGAAATTGAAAGGGGATACAAGATAGAACCCAATAAAAACAAGAAATTTTACCTCAAAACTCCAATCACCATATAAGTTTGGATCACTACTGTTTGCCCAAACATATGTATGAGCCTGTAACTTCTGAGAGCCATCCTGCAGAAAACCCCCCATGCTATTCTCCTTTTAGTACCATCGGAAAACTATAAACCAACTAAGCAGCTAGAGACATTAAATTTTAACAAGACCAAATTGGAATCCTCTTTAAAATTGGTCATATAATCAAAATTCATTAAATATTCCAGTTTAGTTACAGTATTACCCTCTGAAAACTCATTGTTACGTCACCTTCTCTATGCTAAGTAAGCTAGTCATCAAAGAATTTCAGTAATAAAAAAAAGATGAACAGTTTTTCTCAGTGATCAGGAAACTATATGCTTCCTACATGAAGATCCATTTTATGCCTCCCAGTTTGAAATGGTAATATAAGTGCACCAATGATCCATACAAAAAATTTTAAGATGATTTCAGCCATACATACCATCAAAGAAACCTCAACAGTGCACCTATTATACTCAACATCCTCAAAAGTGTCCAATATATCTAATTCAGGAAGTGTGATACCCAATAATACCTGTGGAAAAAGTTTGTTATAACACAGAAAATGAAATACAATTTGTGTTTATTGTGAAATGGTGTCAAATGAAACCTGTCAAGCTGGCATGAATAAAGCCACAAGACTAACCGTCCTCTTTTTATGTGGCAAATGACATAATCAAGTGGGCTTGATTTTTAATATGCAACATGCTTAGACAACCATGAATACTCAAGCAGTACATACACCTACTGAGCAAACCTCTCCACAGAGTGTAGTGTCATAAGAAAAAAGAACAGTTAATTTAGACATCAAAACATTAGTATGTTAAAAAAGTTAAATGAACAATATAAACAATTACAAGATTTTCATGAACATTATTGAAGGAAGCAACATAGTTTAATTTATAATGTGAGCACTTGCAAGAAAAGATATGTATCTTTAATCGCATTACTTAACAGCCAAAGCCTCCCGATACTCTCTAGTCTGACAAAACAGCTTGAAAACTAGTCTGGTACCCAATGAAAGATAACTTTGCATCTCCACCAAGAAAGACAGAAGCACAAGTGATTTCAATGAAGTAATTGAAAACTGCAAGCACTTATGGTAGAGTGGAAATAGAAAAGAGATGAAATTTAACATATTTGTTCTTGTTTTTTTTCATATTAAAAAAAAAAAAAGTTACATTATTGAACTATGTTGCTTGCATGAACAAAAAAAAGGTGTTGAGTCGAAATCAAAATGTCGGGTGAACAAACCTTCCCAGTAACTTTCTTATTCTCCACAGGTATAATAGCAGGATAAACGCATTCTTTGATGCTAAATATATGGCTACAAAGAAAGAAAAGACATTCAAATGTGCATCAGAGATGAGAAATGGCTATGAAAGTTTTGACTTGAAAAGGTATAACAACAATTTTAACAAATAGAAATCTAGGATATACATCCATTTCATTTAATTTGATACTTTGAGCATATTTTATTTTCCTAATTGAGTATTCACATGGAACAAAGAGTTCTATAAATGAGATCAAGGTGTAATTGCACTTCATCTAGCAATAATATATAGTAGCCCTCTTACCAAATCATGTGTAAATCACCAATTAGTGTAGTTATAGGAAAAAAGATACAAAACATAGAGGAAGAAGAACCATTCCCCTTATTCTTCTTATCTATCTCTCAGCAAACAAAGCCACAGACACACACATGCAATCATCTAGTGAATGAAAATGCCATAGAATTTTAACTTGAAAATGTTATCCAATTTTCCCCACAAAAATATATGCCCTCTTAATTTTTTTTTCATTCTTTGTCCTACAAACTTGACTCGACACACCATTGATTGAAACATGGACATAGACCGACTCCTTATATCTACTTTGAAAATAATTCTATGTATTTGTTTTTCATTTCTTATTGCTTGAGAATTCTATAGTTTTGAATATTAAATGGTCTTATGTGGTGAAATGTACAATATTGGAATAATTTCAAAATATTAACAATTGATTATTTTACCAAACTAAGCCTTACATCCCAAACCAATCCAATAATTTGGCTTACTGTTTGCCCTCAGCTAAATTCCTGGCTCTGTCACTGTATATAAGATAGATACAGCTCAGAATTTACCACAAAAAGTTTAGGACAAAAAAATTTAGAAAAAAAGAAAAGAAATCCAGGAGATGAAACAATGATTAAATTAGATAGTCTTGAACAAGCATATGAAAGCGATTACAGAACAGACACAGTTCATTAATCATGAGAGAAAATTCTGGACATCCATCAATCACCAAAATTAAGAAACTTTATCAAAAATTAATGGAAGAAGAAATTGAGCGTCCAATGAACAGAGAGAGAGAGAGAGAGAGAGACTGACAAGCCATCGAGAATTGCAGGACAAGACTGAGGGACGCGCTTCAGTAGAACTCGAACAACTTCGTCGGACAACAGGCTTCCGTACACGAAGACTTGGTGAAGCCCTTGCGGATTAGAGCTCGTCGCCATTGAAGTCGATCCCATTCTCTTTTCTCTTTCTCTCTCTCCCTGTCTCTGTGTTTGTGAGTGTGTGTGTGTGTCGTTTGCTCTCTGCTTTTGATTCTCATGCTGCACATACATGACTGGTGATGGTTGTCAAATGATTTGACTAATAAAATTTTAGGACAAATTACGCCGAAATCCTTATATTTCTATTTAATACAAATTCCTTCGTCCCATTTAAAAAGGGGAGATTTATCAATAAATTTTAAATTTTAAACTTATGATGGTTCTATTTTTTTTAATAAATCGTTTAGTCCTGGGATATTTTGAGAGGCCTTAATACCCTCATTTAGATGTTATTAGATACATTACTACTGGTTAAGGCGTGTTTTGGGTTTGGCGCATGTGTGGCTCACGCGGATAAGTACTAAAGGGATGTGTGGTGTGTTGCATATGATACATTGTGAGGGTGCCACAGAATGCCAAACCGCATAAGGAGGTTTTTGGCCTGGATTGGTGTGTTTGGTGGTTGACACAAGGCCCACAACCCAATATATAAGGGTTTCTAATTGTAATGGATTCGACACCCAAATACCCACCCCGTGAAAGGTTAACCCGTTTTGTGCATCCATATCCACACAATCATTGTGGTTCTCCATTTTGTATTGTTGAAAACCCTAGATGTGTGATTGCCAGCAAATTCGAAATTTTGTCTGACCAAATATACCGTTGCCTTATTCGAGTGTAGAAAGGACTACGTTTGGGAGGTTGATTGGATTGGTATTGCTATTGTTGTGTTTTGTTTGTCAATCGAACGATGTGACGTTGCAAACAGTTGACGATAACGAAACCCTAGTTCGCATAGTCCTCCGTCGTTGCTCTGAAACAGTTCTTTCATGGACGGGATGGGTATGTTTCGTAACATTGTGTCTTGGTATTTGTGTTTGTCAATGTAGTACATTGGATTTATGTAGTTTCCCTATCGATTTCGTTCGTTTTATTTAATAATGGTTATGAGTCATTCAAGTATGTTGTTGAGTATTGTGTTTTAGTATTTTTTTTAGGTTTTTGTGTGTGTGTTTGTTGTTGGGTGTTGTCGGGTGGTTGGTTGTGTTTCTGGAGGTAAGGGGTGGAAGAAAGTGTGTCAGGGGGACAATGATGTTTGGGACCACACGTATTGGTAAAAACAATGGTTTGTTTGTGGAGTTTGGGTGTTTGTGTGTATATGTGGATTGGTTTAAAATATTGTTTGCACTGCATGGTAGGGGGGTATGTATGAGGTTTGTGTGTGTGTGTTATGGTACTATTGTGGAGGTCGTGGGCCATAGTTTGACAATTTAAGGGTGGTGTATGTACTTTTTTTAGGATCTTGTGTGGTTGGAGTTGTGAGGTGGTGTGTGGTGTGGTTTGGTTGGTTGTTTGTGTGGGGAATAAGGTGGAAAGAACAATTGGATGTGGGCATTGATGGTGTAGGCCACATATGGTGGTGAACAATGATTTGGGGTGGGGTTTTGTTTGTGGGGGAGGTTTTGTTTTTTGTGGTGAGGGTTTGACTTGTGTGGGTTTTGTTGTTTGTTTTTTGTGGTGGGTTTTTTGTGTTTTGTGTGACATGGTGTGGCAATGTATCCTTGGGGTATGTGGCTGTGTGTTGGGGTTTTTGTCTTTCATGTTGGTTTCTGTTGTGGTGTGGTAATGTGGTAGGGTGTGTTGTTCACTGGTTTGTTTTGGTTGAGTGGATATGTGGTGTTATTGGTGGTTATTTTTTGTGTGGGGTATTTTTTTTGTGTACTTGTATCTGTGGTTGTTGTAATTTTTTTTGAAATGGTTTGTGTGTGATGTTGCAGATTGCAGTACGGTACGTAGTCCGTGGACTCGATCGTGTGAGAAGCGACGGGCTACAGAAGCATCTAGGTCGAAGGCACACAAAGTGGGTGTAAAAATGGAGGGTCGCATCCTTTTCAAACAAACAAAAGTTGTGAACAATGCAGTGGGACGTAATGTGAATAAGGGTACTGGATACTAACAGCGGCAGGCACACACGAGGATTAATTATCGGTCAAACGTTGCTGGTATAATCAAACTTGTTAGCTCAGTAAAACTGATGGAGGCACATCTGAAACAACGAAGGGGAACGCCGTTTTGGATTATGATCGAGGCGATCCACGTCAACAATTTGAACCACAACGAATTCAGGAAGTGTAATGATCTGATTTCGAAGATTATAAGAACGTATGATCCGCGGGATAATGCGTTTCATATTGAAGGGTCCAGTGTGAAATTTGGTAGTAGCGATGTGAGACTAATTTTTGGTCTGCAATGCGGGAATAGACGTTTGGATTTATCTTCGGGTTAGCAATCGGTGTCTGACTTCATTCAGCGTAGATGCCGTGACACGGTGCGATTAACATCAAAACTCGTTAAAAGTTTGTTTCTCGAAGCTGTTAAAGGGCGGACCAAGCAAGATGAGCAAGATGTAGCAAAGCTTTTGGTGTTGTATATGTGTGGCAAGCTTTTTTTTGCAAATTCAGGTGAAACAATAAGTTGGGCATTTGGTCGGTGTATGAATGACTTGAACACTGTGAGGATGTACGACTGGACTGGAGCATTAATGACAGCACTGATGGCACAGTGAAAGAGTTTCATCGTATGTCGTGGAAGGTGACGGGATACGTGGTCGCTTTATTGGTATGTGAATGTTCAATTTAAGTAGTTGTTGTAACACATACTTGTGGAAGATATATTAATAGGCTGATATTTTATTTTCTTGTTATGTTTAGTATTGGATATGTGAACATTCGACAATACTTGAGCCGCAAACGGACAACATGTTCCCCAGATTCATGAAATGGGACATTGGGAAATTGCTGAGTAAAGCTCAGGGGGTCGATCTCTCCAGTCCGGTTAATTTTCAGGTATGTGTGATGGGTTTGGTGGCTATGTGAAGGCTTGTATTTTACTGTGGAACTTGTGTTGAGTTTGTTGTCATTCGTGACGGTGATATGTTTGCGTTTGCACAGGTTAAAGTTGACCGACTTAGGTCGTTCGAATATGAACGTGAATTAATGGGAGCGGATGTTATTGTGTTTGAAAATGTTGAGTCAGATGTGTTTGATTGTGCTGGAGGTGATGAGGCTTTTGTGGATGAATTTAAGGGCGATGGCAGACACACTAAGGCTGTGATGCATGCAGACAACTTGGAATTTGGATTTGCCAATGGACGTGAAGAGTGCAGTTCATGGGAAGGGCACCAACCGGACTTGACAGTTGGGGGAAATGGAACAGACGCGTTACATGGTTCCACAGATGGAAAAGGCAATGAGGGGGTGAATGACAGTAAACTTAATGAAGCTGTCAGTGCAATCGCAATCCTGGAATCGAAGAATAAAAAAAAAGAAGATGAAATGATTGCATTGCTTGAGGAAGAAGTTGCTGGTCTGAAAAGGAAACTAAAGGCGTAAGCTGTGAACATTGTAGGGGGTTTTGAGTGTGTGTTGGAAATTAAGAATGATGAGGTGGATAAGTTGAAGAAAGAGAATATGGAATTGCAAAGGAATGTATTGGTACTTAAGGATCAGCTCGCTGATCATGATGTGTACGAGGTGGCGTAAGTTTTTCGGGACGTGGAGGTGCGGCGTGACAGCGCCGGAGGTAGTGATGCAGGGGTTAGGCTTGGAGGTGAAGTGGTATATAATGTGTCGCCGATTAGGGCCGATAGGGGGTACGCCTATGTGTGACGAGGCTATGGGTACAAAGGCCGGATGCGAAGTTGTTGACTCGAGTGGTGGGCAGTGTGGGAGAATTGTTGCTGGTATTGTGAATGTAGGGGTGTCTGACGTGGATGAGGGTGTAATTGTTACTGGGTTGCAAACATCGTTTGTCCGTAACATTAAAACCAAAATTAGACAGGCACGGAAATTGCCAGATTTCGAGTACCCCCTCTTAGATGGGTGTAATAAGAAGTTAGTCACAGACAGTTGCATTGTGGTGCGAGATGATGACTATGTTAAGAATGACGGAGTTATTGATGTAGACGCAATGGTTGTAATTGGCAAGAAGTGGTCCGGATTTGATATAAACAACAGGTTGGGTGTGTAGAAAATGATGACAATGGAAGAAAAGTCTAGGATCACGCAAGGTTATGATAGACATGGTGATCGGTACGTATGTATTTTATTTGGATTTGTTAAAACTTGTTGGCATGTAAATTTTTGTAGGAACTGATAAATGTTGGTGTGTCTAGGGCAGTCATGTGGGAGGATGGTGCAGCTAGTGTGGTGGTGTACTTCAGTGATGTGAAGAACCTCATACGCCAGAATAGCATTCGTGGAAATGTGAGACTGTAAATGTTTTGCATTAAAATGTGATATTCGTCCACGTATTAGGGAATGAAGTTTTATGGAATAACATACGAGGCGTAGGTGTTCTGTGAATGTAAGTTATTTATTTATTTTTGTTTATTGGTATGTGATTGATACATATGTTAAGTTGCTTAAAAGCGATCATTTGAGGATGTATGAGGACAGTGAGTTGGTTGACAAGTCGTACTTCTTTAGTAGTGTGTGTTTGGTGAGTTGTGTAATTATGTAGTGTATATTGTCTGATTTGTGTGCCTGTGTGTTGTGATGATGATATGTATGTTCTGCAGGATATGGTGAAACATGATAATGTACGAGCAATAGAGAAGTTTGTTCGTACGAATGTGTTTGTTGCGAGCGAGTGTCGATTCATCCACTTCCCAATATGTCACGATGGTCATTGGACACTTGTAGTGTATGATATGGAAGACGGGAGTTGGAAACATTACAATCCGATTAGACTGAGTGAAGACAAAGCCGATGTACATCACAATGTAGCAACTCTACTGGTATGATTTGTGAGAGTAATATTTTGCATTTGTTTTGTGATTCTGTGAGAGTTATGTGGGTTATGTTTTTTAAGATTGTTTCATTGGTTTTTGTGAATTATGGCAGAAAGAACGTGTGATGAATGTGATGAAACAGACTTTGCGTGATTTCGGGTTAGATGAGCAAAGCATTTTGGCAAATTTTAGCAGCCCGCTGGAATCTGTGACCAAGTGTCCGCAATAAAAACTGGAGACGTAAGTTAATTGTGTTTGCGTTTTGTTGGGGAGACTGTAT